CATAAGTAAAAAGATGCATGAGTCAAACATTGATGCTTAAATTAACAAAGGACTCCAATCATAGGATTGTACTTCGGAAAATATATCCAAATTACAATGATGTGTTTGTAATTTTACTCTATTTTTATGTTGCATGCAGATGGAGTAAATCAGACGATTATTATTAGGTTTGCAACTTTCACTTTTGTATCATTTTTTGCATTAATATATTTTTTATAAAGTGAAATTCCTTTTAATGTAGTATGGAAATGGAACTGGAAAGTGTAACAACAAAATTAGGCATGGAATATTTTGATAGTTTTTTTTTTCTTTCTAGTTTTGACTTTTTTTTGGATTAATGATTAGGGTTTTATGAAGCGAAAGACTTTGGGGAGAGATGAAGTGTGTGTACATAAAAAGCTTGAAAAAGCTAAAGATGTTAGAAAAATTAAACGTGCCTTTATTCCAAATATACCATGTTTATTTTCCAATCTTTTTGAATAAATAATCTAACTTTTTATAGTTGTCAGACAAAAATCCAAAAAATGGAGACAACCAATGAAATCAAAGATAACAAACTCTTGAGATCTCTAAAAGCTTAAAAGAACACAAAAAGTTCTCCAAATGTCGTAAATGCCCCTGATCTGACCCATATCAACCCATGTACACCACAAAGTACAATAAACAAACCGTATGCATCAGAGGCAACCATAGATGATGTAGCAAAGGTCTCAAGATCACATGAGAAACTGAGAGATGTGGTGGCTGCTAATGAGATTACATTTTATATGGGCATAATTTTTTTTAAAAGAATGTGGGCTGCCACTTTTTACATTATGTTTGCAAATAATTAGCATTGTAGGCTCTTAAATGGCTTGTTGTAGGTTACACTAGGGATGCCCAAAAAAACCGGTTTACCTCCGAACCGGTTCAGGCATGAACCGAACCCCCGAAGAACTGAACCTACGGACCGAACCAATTCGCCCTTTTTAATGTGTGATCCGGTTTCGAACCGGTTTGTTAAGAACCGGTTTTTTGAACCTATTCGTAAACCGGTTTTTTGAACCGGTTTTTTGCATATTACCGTTTTTTTGTCTTATTCTAACGGCTATATAGCCGTTTATGGCTGTTAGATACTCGTTTTTTGGTCCCTTTTGGCCATATTCCCCAATATTTGATAGTATAAATACCTATTACATGTTTTGGGTTAACCAAACCTCAAAAAACCTCTCTTACTTCAAAAAACGCTCTTAATTCAAACAATGGATTCGGCTTCCGTTGGTATTGGAGACTCATCAAACAATCTTACCGTTGTTAGCATCAAAGAAACAAATAGAAATCCGGCTATTTGGTGCAACTATGATTTGTGTGTAATGTCGAACGGTATAAAAAGAGCGCGATGCAAGAAATGTGGTGCTTTTTTTAATGAAGAAGGAATTCGACATTGAAAACTCATATGACAAAAGATGCCCCGCGGTGAAATTTGGGCCGGGTCATAATCAAACAACAATGGCGAATGATGCAACATTGTGGAGTTACGATTTGAGTAAAGTTCGGGATAGGATGGCGAAGTTCGTGATTCAAGAATGTTTGCCTTTTGACCACTTCGACAACAAACGATTGACTTCACTCATCCAAGATACTCTCCAACCACGATATTGCCATGTGAGTCGTACTTCTATTAGACGTGATTGTATTGAAATGTGGCAACTTGCAAAAAATGAATTGATTTTAGGATTTCAATCTTTAGAAACCGGTGTGAATTTAACTTGTGATGTTTGGACGGCTCCTTACGGTTCACCGGATGCGTACCTTTGTGTTACCGCTCATTGGATTAATCCAACTAATTGGGTAATGATGAAGCGTACGATTACGTTTGAATTGTTTGAGTACCCGCACACCGGTAGAAATTTATTTAAAATTTTAGATTGTGTGATCAAAACTTATAAACTTGAAGGAAAGATTTTTTCTATATCTTTTGATAATGCTTCAAACAACACCGTCGCGGTTGGACAACTAAAACTAAAATATAAACCAATTTGCGATGGTGTTTTTTTTCATAGTCGATGTGTTGCACATATCATTAATTTGGTTGTGCAAGATGGACTAACTAGCATTGAAACTATAAAGATGGTTTCAAAGACATGCTAAAAGATATTTTTAGTTCTAGTAACGCTCGATATCATAATTATATGCAATTTTGTGTCGATGCGAATGCCCTCTTTTTAGGTCCGAATTGGGAAAATAACACCCGATGGAACTCCACTTGCAAAATGTTTGAATGTGCCTTACGTCAAAAAGATACTTTAAAAATGTTCCATGACAACCTTGCGGACCGTAATAAGGTTACGGCTTATCCGGAATCAAGTTGGGATACTATCAAACTTGTTACGGACATGCTTGATGTTTTTAAAAAAGCAACTACTTTTTTATCGGGTGTTTATTATCCTACAAGTTGTTTAGTTTTAAACCAAATATTTTTAATGTGTGCGAAAATAAATGAGTTTGAAATGAGGAGCACAATGTTTGCTAATATGATGAAACCGATGAAAGCAAAGTTAAAAAAATATTTTCAAGAAATGCCTCCCATTATTACTTGTTCCGCCGCTTTGAATCCGGCTCTAAATGTTGGGGGGGTTGAGACTTTAATTGAAAATATTTGTTACGATTTGGGTTTAATGGATGATGACATGGATTATGCATCAAAGGAAGTTTCAAAATTTAACAAAGTTTTTCAAAATTTGTTTGAAGTTTATTTAACAAAATATGGTTCAACAAACATTCATGACATGATGCAAAATACGGGGGCATCCGGATCCACTTCTCACCAAAATAACGAAACAATTAGGCTTTATAATACTTTGAGGAATGAAAATTCCAAACGAGCTCGGTCTAACACCCCAAGTAGCGAGCTCGGGAGGTACATTGGTTCCGATTTCTTGTCTCAAATGAGTATTCAAGAGTTTGAAAATTTTGATATCTTGGCTTGGTGGAAAGGAAAGGAAACCCAATTTCCGATTCTAGCCGCTATGGCCCATGATCTACTAAGCTCCCAAGCTTCTACGGTAGCTTCAGAATCGGCTTTTTCTGTTAGTGGCAGGGTAATATCACCAAGAAGAACAAAACTAACCCCTTTGTCGGTGGAAGTGTGCATTTGCTTGAAATGCTACCTTGATGGCGTGGAAAGGATACAAGACATTGAACTACTAGAAGGCACATCGTTACATGCCGAACCACAAGTACATGAGGAAGAAGTAGCGATGGGAATGTCGGTGCCACTCACCCTAGAAGAGATCGAGTATGAGAGAGGATTACGCAACGACATGGCGGATGACGAATAAAAAAACAAAATAGGTTGAAGATGTATTAGTTTGACAATTTGGATGTTTTGTGTTTTTATGTTTGAAGTTGTATTATGTATTTCCAATATAAAAAAAAACAAAAAAAAATGAAAAATAGGTTGAAAATTGCTCCAAAAAATGTGTTGATTCAAGTTGAACAATTTTTTACATACATTATGTTTTTCTACATATACACAAACATAAAATTTAAAACCAAAATAAAAGTTAATACATGAAAAGATATGTATATTATTAAACAAAAAAAAAAAAAAAAAAAAAACTTTTGGACATGGTCCATAACTCCATATGGACGTGTATATGTAATGTAAGGCTTATAAGGCTTTGCCTTCCCAATCACCCAAACCACCTACTGTGAAGCCAAAAAAATTTATGATTTAAGACAATTTAGAGCTTTATACTCTAAACAAAAAAAAAACTCATTCCTATTTTACACTTATTAGCCCAAAAACAAAACAAAACAAAAAAAAAAAAAAAAAAAAAAAAAACCCTTATTTGCGTCGAACCGGTTTTGAACCGGTTTTTTTGATCCTTTTCTGAACCGGTTTTTTCCCGTTTATTTGAACCGGTTTTTTGAACCGGTTTAAATATGTTCGAATATTTTTTGGGGTGAACCGGATTGGAACCGAACCGGTTTTGGTGTGAACCGGTTTTCTGAACCGGTCCGGTTCATAAAAAAACCGGTTTTTGCACGCCTAGGTTACACTATTTGCTCTAAATGGTCTCCTAAATGAAGAACCAAGTAGCCATTTTATGAAGCTTTTGTTAGTGATATTTTACAATTTTCGTTGTTGTAATAGGCTCTAGATGACCATTTTTCTATTTGTGTTAGTGTATTTTTTTTTAAAAACATTTATGTTTCAACAAATTAGAGATGTGAATGTGTGCTCTTAGCACTCTACTTATATTATTTAACCAATTCAAAAGGTTATAGTAATGTACTAATATTATTTTACCTAATAATAAATAGATACTTAAAAATCATAAGTTTTGTTTTAACATACAATAACAATCTAAAATATATTTTTAATCTAGAATAGCAGCATACTTATCCTTTTAACCAATAATAGCAACACATTTAACTTTTTAACCGATAATAGCATGATATTTCTCTTTATATCCAATAATGTCAATGTACTTCTCATTTTAGTCAATAATAACGATGTACTTATTTTTAACCAATAAAAGCAACACATTTTTGAAAAATAGTACATATAATAAACAGATTATGATGTGTATACATTCAACCCCTTTTTTACATCATATCTCAAAAAATTAGACAAAAGAATTGTAAGAAGCAATGAAAGAAGGATGCTATAGAATAAAGTAAAATCAATCTATTGTTAATATAAAAAATAAATGAAACTTTTTATAAGCCGGTGAATGTTTATGACAATGCATGTTTTATTGATTGTAAATGTTGTTATTGACTTGAAACTTTCTTTAAAAATCAAGCAAAGAAAAAAGTAAAATAAAATAAAAACGGTACAAAATTCAGAATTGAAACCCACGATTTACGTTTTCTTATTTTTCGAAAAACTTGTCATTTCCATTTTAACATCACCACACTCTCATTGAGTTTCCTTTATGCAAAATGGTATTATATTTTAATGTGTATCTAGAGCATGACCTTATATCATATTCTTTAACCCATTTTTAGAAGTCGTAAATCATAAGATATATCATCACAAATCTTGAACATCATAGTGTATTAAAATTATGACATGATGTTTAATTACTTTTGTGATAAATCATCTTTAGTTCTCTCTTAGTTACAAGACAATACTCTAAATAACAATAAAAACCAAATTAGATACACGAAAATAACAAACAAGAATGAGCACAAGCATGCGCCTTTTTGTCTATCTAAAGCATGTATAAATCCCCAAAAATCCATATCTTTGTTGAATCATATAATCTGTAAAAACTTTATGCAGCTTTCACAAAATAGTACAGCATTGATTGGATTTCTTTGCTTGCTTATAGAACATCTGTTTCACAATCATTCATTAGAATTTTGTCAGATGATTCGTTTTTACTTAATAGACTTAAACAGGAGACAAGACTTAATGCAAAAAGAACAACTTAACCTTTTACAAATTTACCCTCTTTAAAATCATGCATAATGATGGGAAAAGATTAAAGATGAACCTGTGAAGCTGCACTAAGATCTGAACTCTTCTCAACTAAGCTATCCAGCTTTTCACCTCTTTCAAGGACACTATCAATGGTTTTATGCTGTGAACAAAAAATTATTTACAACAGTTAATAACAAAAGTCAAAAACTCATTTCCAAAATAAGGAATTTGATGCTTACAAGGATAATTTTGGTTTCATCTAACTCCCTTTGAATTTTCAACAGCTTGTCAGCCTGTGCAGGATCCTGTATAGTTCAAAAAAAAGATTCAAAGATGATTTCAGATATCAGATTTAAAAGATCACATCAAGTGCACAACAATGTCAATGAAGGTTAGATGTTAACTTGTACCTGAAACCTGGTTAAAGCATCATTAAGATATGGCCATTGATCAGTGATATCTGCTTGTATGTTTTGCCATGAATTTCCATGCTTCTTTTGGTACTCATCTATAACCTAATCAAAATGTAGCATCATGTCAGTTATAGAAAGCTTTAAGGCTGTGATATGATTGATCATATGATCATGTGGTTGTTAAAGTTCTTAATAATATGAGCTTACCTGATTCAGCACAGAGAAGGCGCTCCTAACTGGATAGTGATCATCCATGAAGCCCACCGCACATAGACCATTTCTGTTATATGAATGCACCTTATACTCTATCACCAGGAAAAAGAGATGTGATTAACTTATGCTTATGCTTATGCTTCAATCAACAGATGATTCGTTTCAAGATATGAAATTCGAATCCTTCCCAATGTAATTCGTTTAATATTTACGATTGAAACCCCATCTTCGATAATCACCGCGGTGATAAGATTTTGAAATCAATGACATGATTCAAGGAAAAATGGTAGAAGGAAAACAGAGGTGGTTTATGTAACCTTCGTGTTGGACGGAGTGGCGTTGGTCAGGCGGAGTTCGTTTGGCGACGGTCCTACCAACAAACACGATGAACTGCCGGACGGTGACCCTCTGGAAATACCCAAAATGACTCACGTCCGTCGCGTTCGCTAGAATCACTGGATCCGAACCGTCTGGAATCGGGTGACATTTCAGCACGAGTAACGCCGTGATCTTCATCCTCTTCTCCTCCCTCCTATTCAATCTCAAAAAACAGTAAAAATTAGAGATTAGGGTTAGGTTTCCGACGACAAATTCTTGATGAGGCTTGTACGAATTGGAAACGAACGAAATGGATGAATTCTAGGTCAAAAAGAAGATGATCAATAGAATTATCCACTGGTCCGTAATCAGTGAAGTGCATTACCCTTGCGATCGAAGAAAATTTTCACGCTTTTGCTTTATGAAGAATCAGAATTCAGAAGGCGTTTTGGGATCGAATTTCGAACCATGACAATGCCTACCGACCTTTACTTGTAAATATTCCGTCGCCATAACTTCCAGCTGTCACTAATGTTTTGAAAAAAAAATATTATGTTCTACGATAAATCTAACAAAAATATGATTATTTTCATAACTCAATTTCCTACACATAAGCAAGAGGAAATTTATATTTTTGGTTTATGATGTCACTTGATTTTTTCGGTTTTAATTTTGAATATTATTTTGATGTTTTATAACAACTTTGATCAATTTTACAATTAAAATATTGTACACCTTTAATAAGATTATAATAAATGTTAGTTATTTATTTAAACTTGTTTGTTTAATATCATGTTCACCCATTATAACTTTGAAAGTCGGTTGTGTGCTCTTTGGACCCATTAAAAAAAAGTTGATTTCTTGCACCAAGGGCCTGTTTTGGTAGGAATCATATAATATTCACCAAATAAATCGTATTATTTTTCTATTTACCATTATAAATACTGTATTTTTTTTATTATTTTTTAACTTATTATTTCATAACAAAACTTTTAAAAAAAACAAATTTACTAATTAAAAATAATGAATGTATAAATAATTGTTTCGAAGGTACAAAAATATGTTAAAATGTCGTAGTAAGCATACACAATACGGACAAACATTTAATTGTAGGTTTACATGTAAACACAAATTATATTTATTGTAATGTTTTGTTCCAAAATTAATAGACCAAATATTTGATATACACTGAAAATGATTTTACTTTTTTTTTAAAATTTATTGTAAGCACGAATTAACTAATCCTGAGATATAAGAATATAAAATTCAAAACCAAAATCAAGAAAATCAGACAAATAACGAAGATATTATGACAGTTCACGGTTCTTTAAATTTTTACAAACATGTTTAAACAGAAAACTAAGCTTCAATACCCCGTGTTTAAGGGTTTGTTTCTCATTGAATATATAACCAAAAATAGTATATAAACTAAATAAAAATAATTAAAATTGTGAACAACAAGCTGAAAAAAAATCAGGCAAATCGGTTAAATCATGAAGACGCTATTACAGTTTAAAGTTGCCTAAATTTCTGCAAACATGCTAAAATTTCGGATCGTATATTTAGAAACGAATAAACTTTTATTTTGGTAACTCGGACCAAAAAAAAACTCTAGAAATAAAATAAGCCTAACATAGATATCTGAAATTCGAACCGAATTGCTTATTCGGGTCTAATTTGGTTCGAGTTTCGGTCCAAATGTTCATCTCTAGTTGGAACATATGAATTGTTGTGTTGAATGATAAAAATAATCATTCTACCATTATGTACTATTTTTTGTTGAATTCAACATTTTTGTTTTATAAAATAAATGAACCAACTTTCTGAATATATATATATATATATATATATATATATATATATATATATATATATATATATATATATATATATATATATAACATCATACAAAATCCAAATTAAACATAAATCCAAATCAAACAACTAGCAATAAATAATTGAAACATAAATAACAAACAAGAAACTATAAAAATTGAATCAATAATCAACAAACAAATAAAATAATAAATAAGAAACGATAAGCAATTGAATCAATAACAAAGATATAATAATGAAAGGTAGCAACCACTATGTGCAAATCATCAGTACAACATCCAACTTTCTAGTGGCTCTCAATAAAATATTCAACAACATTACCGGGGGTAATACCATGAGATCTAGATCCAAGAGTGAATAACATGAATTCACTATGTTATGTGATCAATTACCCACATAATAGAAACCAACTATACCAATGATTCTTAATAATAACAACCAACATTTTCTTGCACAAAAAACAAACACATAATGTGCATAATAACTTGATCTGCAGAAGAAGTTAAACAGGAAACAATAGAAACCCCATAAGACAAAAACCAAATGAAAATGAAACAAACCAAAATGAAAGAAAGCACAAATTTTGAAGACATGAATTCGTTAATTAAAGAACATTTTCATAAGATCAAGTAACTCACATGGTGTACATAAAACATTTAATCTCAACAATTGCATTTGCATTTGCGTTTCAAAGGGTAGACTACACAAAATTATCCAGAAAGCAAACCAAACCAAACGTGCCTTTTGGGATCTCAATCAACCCTTCTGTAACTCCCTTCTCTAATCTCCATAAAAGGTAGTTTTCTTCTTCCGATCTTGTACTAGCCTTCACCATAGGTGTTGCAATTACAATCCAATCGGGGATCTTTGTGTCATTGCCTCTTATAGAGATCCACACCATATCGTTGCCAACAATAAAAGGATTCTCCCACATGCTTGATATCAACATTCGACCTCAATCTATATCTACCGCAACTTAAACAAACAACCTCAAAAAACTTGATTGGTTCCATTGACTAAAAACACAACTTTTATGAGCAAAGGCAATAACCATAAAATCGATTACATAGGAAATCAATTTCAGTAAAGAAGCTTACCGAAGGGTGTTGTTGTTGGCGTAGAACGGCGACGGTGACAGCACTGTGGAAGATGATGACGACAAAGGTAGGAGGATGCAGTAAACTGAAGGACATAGTAGTGGTTGAAGTTCTAACATATGAGACATGAAAATAGGGCACCAATGTTACAAAAAAGCAGTGGTACTGTGCGAGGGGGCGTCAGTGTTGTACGTTGTCGGAGAGGGAAGAGTCGTCAAAGGAGGTCTAAGGTAAGAAAGTTCGGCATACGTGTTTGATTGAAGTTCGACATATGTGTTTAATGGAAGGAAGCGGGAATGAGGAAAAGGGAAAAGAAGGAACTTGTTTGTGTTTTTCTTTCATATATGGGTGTATGTCTGACCAAATAAGAGCAAATATTCATATTCTGTTGCTAAAATAAGTGGTAAACAAACACTTTAAATCAAACAGATTTGGAGTTACTTCTTATTAAGAGGAAATAAGAACCAAACAAACAGCCACTAACTCGTAAATGGTTTGTGGCTTTATGTACTCCTATGTGATAGTTACATTTTGATATGGCATACTTTTTAAACAAAGTTTGAATGAATGAGATTATGATATGTCGATAATCTTTTCTTCATATTTTCCTTATGATAAGAACAAACTACACGCATGATGAATTTAACAATAACAAGAATGTAACGCAATAGTCCAAAGTTTTTTGTAGCAAAATTATATGTAGAGTATCATGATAATAAACAACTAACATTATATTAAACCATTAATCAATATAATATAGTCTAATTTTTGGACTTGGGTTTAGAATTGAACCCTATATCAAATTAGGGAAGAAAGTGAGAAGAAAACTACCTCTCAATATCTTAAATGATCATTAACTCTCAGTTATTTTCTTCCCCTTTAATTGATCCTTCACAACCACCATGCGTTTCTTAGAATTCGGCCATGATAGCCTCTTCCCTCCTTGGATCGTGATTCTCCCCGCCATAGAAGAAAACCCTCAAGTGTTATGTACTCACCTATGTTACACTATGGACCTTTGAGTTTAATTTCTCTTAAATAAGCACCACATTGACTAGTATTTTAATGGTACCTTTTATTCTCACACATTGGCCCCATAATCTTCCCTTTCTTATCAATATGGTCTTGATTAATTACAATTAGTCCTTCAAGGTTGGTTTAGATGATAGTTTTAGATCTCAACTTCATTAGCTTGCACCTAGATCATCCTTTTGACTTGAAAGCTAACTAATACATCAATATTTCCTTAAAAAACTTCTCAAATATCTTATGACTTCTAAGTCCCATTTGGTCAATCAAGAGTCAATTTTCAACTTTTAAGAATTGGTAACTTTAGTCAGTAATCATCGTTTTCTCAAGTTGAGTATATTAAACTTCTAATTTTTTTCATCTCATACATATCATATGTATTGATTATAAATTTTTAAGTACACTTTGTATATTATTTTGTTTTTTTTATATATATTTACTAAAAGGGAAATACTTCACACAAATTATATATATATATATATATATATATATATATATATATATATATATATATATATATATATATATATATATATATATATATATATATATATATATGAAACGTCCCAAAAATCATGACATAATTTTTTTTTTAGATTAATAAATCGTTAATACATTTCTTTCCCATGAAACCAAGGTAACCAAGAGTTAGCAAAAACATGAATAAATTAGTGTAATTCACAGAATGCGGAAACATGTGGTGTGTGCCCTCGTTCCGGACTCTTTCCTTAGAAAAATGAAGTATCTGAAACATAAACTGTAACAACCTAATATTTCAAGTCAATGTAATAGTTTAGGTCAAATTGTAACTTATTTTGAAATAATAAAAATAGAAGTTTATTGAGACGAAAATAAGCGTAAAAAATAAATTGTTTAATAGTCTTAATTGGAGTGAATAAAGTGGTAGAGATCATAACAAGGTTTCCAAAAATATAAAGAAAACTGAAATCCGAGTTATAACAAAGAAGTTATGATCAATCGAAGATCCGCGACAAAAATGACAAAACACTTGTGCATTGTTGTGATACTACACATGAAGTCATCCATACCCGAACATTTCAGCCATTCCGGTTTGGGGTGTGACATAAAATGAAGACCGTAAGCACAAGGCTTAGTGAGTTTCCCAAAATATCATACTACATGCAATCATAAATTATCACACACACATACATATAGTTGTCATGGGCTCCCCCTATTATCTTTATCTAGTATGCCATGGGCTCCCCCTCCTAGTCTTTACCTGGAATGTCATGGGATCCCCCCATGGTCTGATATCCACTTGCCTTGGGCTCCCCTCGGGGTCTTCCATGCACGTATCACAAAGACAACTAGCATACCACATAATACATAATGGGCCAGCATTGGTGCCTTCGACCCATGGATATAGTGAGAATACTCACCTCACACTGTTGAATCTTGTAGAAAACTCCTAGCTGAAGGCTGACTGATCCCCGAACTATTAATAACAAATGACAACCAATTAACAATTAAGTTCCAAACCAAACCACAACTCCATGCGTGGGGTAAAAGGACCATTTTACCCCTACCTAACCTTGTCCATAAATCAACCATTGGTCCAATTTTCTAAATTGGGTCCAAACCCCTTACATGGCCTTTTTTTAAGGCCCAACCTCGCTCTAGTCCAACACTTTGTGTTATGATGGCCCATTAATAACTCAAACTCTCAAGCCCAAAACCAAAGGATCCACAAAGACCCACTAATGGCCCAATTTTCTAAATTGGTCCTAATCCCATATAGGCCTTATCCTAAGCCTATATTTTCCTTAGATACAATTCAGTTTACCTCAAGCACCCCTTGGTCAAACTTGGTTAAAGACATAAGCCAAAAGGACAAGAACCATAATCCATATTGACCCAACTCGCTGAGTTGTCTAGTCATGTCGTCGAGTTCTACATCAACTCAAAAACAGGGAAAACCAAAACAACTCGATGAGTTCGCTCGAGACCCAACATCTTAATACATTAAGCTGCCTTCTTTGAATCCAAGAGTTCCAAAGCTCAAATCTCGACCAAAATGAGATCTAGAAGTGTAAAGTTTCCAACTTTACCCCTAGGAACCACCAAAATGGGTTCAATCCCAAACCCTAGACTTAAAAGAGTGAGGGCTTAACCATTAAGCACTTAATCTCTAAAAAAAGCCCAAAATTGAAGATATAACATCCTAGAGATGGAAAACCACATAAAGTTGCCAACTTTACATTCATGCATGCCTAGGAGAAGATCAAAAGCTCAAGAAGGGCTTAATAAGGGACTTAATGCACACAAGAAGTGCTTAAATCCATAAAGTTGGCACCTTTAAGCCAAAAGAGTCCATGATAACCCCAAATCTGAAAGAATAATGCTTTGGGACGTCCTAATCCAAACATTCATCCAACCCATGGCTAAAGCATAACAAATTAACCCAAAAGAGAGATCTAATCATCTAGTCATCAAGATAAGAACTTGATACCTCAAACTCCTTGCACAATGAGTTGATATTCTAGATCCAAGACTTCCTTCTCCAAGCTTAGAACTTCAAGATCTTCGAACTCCTTCACAATTCACAAACTGACCACCAAACTTCATCCAAATCTCAAATGTTTAACAATGGAGGCTACAACTTGATTTAGGGTTTTGACAACAATGGAGGCTGCTAAGGAGGCCAGCCAAAGGAATTTTAGGCCTTTTATAGGGTGCAACACCCTAAAATTAGGGTTTCCTTCCTAAACACCAACTTGTCGAGTTGAGGCACCTTAACTCATCGTGTTGGCTCATTTAATCCCATGAATCTTCCATCATAAACTCGCCGAGTTAGACCCTCCAACTCACCAAGTGCAACTTAAATAAAGCTTATTCTCAATAATTTCCCTTCATATGATGGGTTTTCTACATAGCAAACAATCATATGTGTGCATGTAACCCTAGTTTGAGGATCTATACACTATTAGACATACAAGCATTAAACACAAAACTGGAAACCCTAGCACGCACCTAATAATTTCAAAATCCATAAAAGAAAGATTAGATCACATACCTTTATTGTTATGTAGTGATAACAATAGAAAAACTTGAAGATCCTTTGCTTTAAGAACAAGTACCACACATGTAGCACCTCTAATGGCTAAAAACACACTAGGGTAAGAGGATGAATATGAGAGAGTGGACATACTTGTTTAGAATTTTGGATCTTCTAGGGTTCTTTGGAGGTGCACAAATTATGAGGGCTAGGGGTTATATTTATAGTTGAGGCAACTAGGGTTTTGAGGTGGAAAACCCTAATTCCTTAGCTTAGGACCTAAGCAGCCCATGAACTCCCATCCATGAGGCTTGGACGAAATCCTCTAGAATCTTCTAGGGATTTTCGGCCAACCCCAATGAGGATGATCCAAGAGCACAAAATCTCAACTATCAAATAATTACAAAACAACCCTTGTACTTTTAATCAGTTACTTTAATCCCAAAATTAATTCCAATATAATTTCTGATTAAATACTAATTAATAATATGAATTCTAATTAATATATTATTCTCATAACATATTAATAAATCATTTTATACACCAATTTATTATTCCAAATAATAAATTCAGCCTCTCTCTCTAATAGTCATCCTGTCTAGTCGTAAGTGTGAAGGCAACCCAAAAGGATCATGCTACTATCAAATCAAGTACAAATCAATTATATTTATGGGCTTAGAAACCTAATCTAATAGTCTTGTACATAGATAAGTTTAATAACTATGATTGCAAATATGACCTCAAATTTTGACTAGCAATCATAGCTCTCAAAGTCACTATCGAACTCTAACCCATTTAGTTACATATCCTAAGATAAGGGATCATATAATCCTCCATTCTACAAGATATCATGTAGAAAAATGACATGGAATAGAATCATTCTCATTGTCCAACAGTTGGTATTCCGATTTTTGATTTGTATGACAATGAACTTAATTGAACACATCAATTCAGTCCCGATAGGGCCCGACACATAATGCAACACATCGAGTGACCCAAGATATCGCTTTTACCCCATAGGGAAAAAAGAACAGATAAAATTTGACTTATATGCTTGTACTATTTACTCATCAA